CGGAGCACTCTGGCCTCTTCTGAGTACCCTTGTCACTCGCTCTTACTCACCCAGCTTGTGCTCCCTCTTGGCAGCAGAAAGCCCACCGCCCCCTATTTCACGTGTCCGAGGGAGACAAGAAGGCTCCTGGGGTCTCCCTCCTTCAAGCTCCAGAGAAACTCGCCTTCCGTTCACCTCTCCTAATGACACCAATATGTGCACACCGTACTGAGTGCTTTGCAGACATCTTCATAATTAGTTCGCCCTTCCCTCCGGAGTAGTTTGTATTCCAGGGGTACCGACAAGAAAGTGGGGGGTGTTTTACCCATGGTCCTCACCCAGCAAATGCTAAATCTGGCGTCGGACTCCTTATGCGCGGGGCCACAAAGCCCGTGCTAGCTCTGCCCCATCCCATGGTCCACCCTGCCACAGCCTGGTCCTTCAGCTGCTCCGCCTCCCCGCCCAGCCCAGGCCCCGCCTCACCGCGCTCCTGAGGACTCTGGCCTCCTGCCCACCTCCCAACACTCGGTACAAAGAGGTCCTGCTGGTCACATCAGTTCTCCAGTGCTTCCTCATCTGGGATTCCGGGGTTCTCCCTGCCCTGCCCCTGCCTGAGTTTCCAGCCTCGCCTCCCCTCCCGCCTCCCTGCTCCTGCTGAGCCCTCAGAAGTACCCCAGCAAGCCACGCCCCTCGACCTCTGGCTCTGGACACCGCTAGTCCGTCTCTCTTGACCGCCTTCCCACCCTTCCCACCCGCTCCTTCACCCACTTCAGACGAGTCTTCCCGCCCCCCAACCTCTGCCCCTCACCCCTGCGCTGGCCCCTTTGTCCCTCCTCCTAATCCACGCCGGCTTCCATCACAGTCGTGCTCACGCCGCTTAGTAAATACGGATGCGTCCACCTTGGCCTTCGAAGGTGAGCTCCTTGAGGGAAAAAATCTGGTCTTGTTCGTCCTGGTGTATCTAGTTATCAAGCAACGCCCCGAATATAACAAGCCGCCAGTGATCGAAAGAAGAAAGTACGACCTAGGAGTATTAAAGAAAGAAAGAGCCTTGCTGAAAATGGTTCTGCACGTGGGGTCCCTGGACCAGCAGCACCTGAATCACCTGGGAATTTAGGAGAAGCGCGACTTCTTGGGCCCCACTCCAGACCTTTGAGTCAGAACATCCGGGATGGGGGCCCAGACGCGTGCATCCTCACGAGCCTTCCAAGTCACTGTGACCACGCTCAAGCCTGAGAACCGATAGGGCAGAGAAGGTCTAGGCCACACCCTCCGCGAAAACAGCAGCAGCTAACGCTTCCCCTATTTCAGGCTCCGCCATAAACCCTTCTGTGAATTATCTTATTAGCTCTCCCACGAACTCCATAAAGTAGGTGTTATTATCATCATCCCCGTTTTACAGATAAAGAGACTGGGGCTTAAAGAGCTTTGGAAGCTTGCCCAAGGCCTCACAGACACAAGTAGGGAGCCTGGGTGGGACCCTGGGGGGCCTGGCTCCGGGCGGTGGGCTTCCCCGAGGGGCAACGGCCCCCACCGGAGCCCCAGACCTAAAGTAAAGAGGCGCTGGTTCCAGCTCTGTCTCTTCATCAGGCATGACATGGGCAACGCATTTAGCCTCTTCGAGTTGCAGTTTCATCTGAGTAAATTAGGAGACAAATTTGGGGTGGAAATGAGTGTGTTCGCGTGCTTCAAAGGTTTCAAGAATTACGCATATATAAGATATTATTTGTGTATCTCCTCCCCACATCCCAACACACGCCTTGAGAAAGGCATACAGATAACCCCGCTTTCCCCTCCAGGTCCCCCCAGGAGCGCTATGCACAGTCTTCTCACCCCCTCAAGTGGCCACACTGAGGTTGCAGTTACTTAGATCTAAAAAAATTTTTAAATAAAAAATAAGGAAAGCCTGCCCCCTGCTGCCCAAACTGAGGAATGATCCCAGTCTGCACCACCTAACTGATCCAGATGATCTTCCCGTTTTCTTTTTTCCCTAAATTCTAAGAGCCACGCCGTTGCACACAGCCCGTGGCACCACCAGGTCGCACCTGTCCTCCTCTTAGAAAAGGGACAAGCAGTGGGTCCCTAAGCCTGGCACCAAAATGGAAATACCCAGGGTAATTTCGTGCTTGATTTTTCATGTAAATACAAATTGGCAAACCCAATCCTAGAATTTTTCACTCAAAAGATCCTGGGGACCTCTCAGATGTAATGCATTTTCACATGCTTCCTAAGTGAATGGAGATTCGCTGAGCAAATTCAGGACCAAAAAACTGATCTTCTTAGGAAAAAGAGAAAAACCTTGTAAATTAAAGGTTTTTTTTTAAGTAGTAGATTTTGAAATATAACTTAGGGCACTGTTTTGTCGTTTATTTTCTTTGAAAATTTTATTTTATTTTAAATAGATAATATAACTATAGAGCTCAACTATCAAAACAATATAATAAAGTTGGCTTTTACTTCCTCTCTACTTCTATCTACTTCACTCATTCTTAATAGATTATCATTTTTATGTGTTTCCTTTGTATCCTTCCAGCATTTCTTGGGCAGAAAGAAGCAAACAAAAATATAAACCTCATTTTCCCCCTTTGTTAGACAAAAGGCATGTTATCGTGTAGATTGCTTTTTCCCAGTTAAAATGTATCTTAGAGAACTTTCCGCAACAATGTGAAACATTTTCATTCTTTTCCAGCATCGAATAATATTCCATTTTCTGTATGTCTCACTGTTCATTTGCCCTTACCAATGGGCACTTGAGTTTTCCCTAATATTTTTACTATCCAAACAATACAAATATTTTATGCACGTTTTTTATTTGTATTCACGAATATTTACAGGACAAATTTCCACAGGTGGGATTTCTGGGTGAAAAAAACAAATGCATTTGTGATCTTTATAGGTGTTTCCAAATCGTACCATTTTGTACCCCCACCAACAATCAGTGCAGAAGTCCCCTCTTACCTGTGAGAGATGAGTGCCAAGACCTCCAGGGGGTGCCTGAAACCGCAGACAGTACCGAACCCTACATATGCTACGTTTCTTCCTATACCTACATACTATGATAAAGTTTAACTTATAAATTAGGCACAGTAAGAGATTAACAATAACTACTAAGAAAATAGAAAAATTATTACAATATTCTATAGTAAAAGTTATGCGAATGTAGCCTTATTAAGTAAAATAAGAGTTCATTGAACACTACCCCTGAGATACCCGGACAGTTGATCTGATGACCTAGACGACTGCTAAGTGACCAATGGCCGAGGGACAGCTACAGGAGACGCTGGACGAAGAGGTTCTTCATGACTCAGGATGGCACCAGATTTCCTCACACCAACCAGAACGGCTTGTGATTCGGAACTTATGAACTGTTCATTTCTGGAATTTTCCACTTAATATTTTCAGACCAAGGTTGACTGCGGGTGGCTGAAACTGTGGACCATGAAACCGCGGATAAGGGTGGACTACTGCACATAAAAGTGCAATTTCATCACACCTTGGCCAATAGAATGTTCTTCCTCGATTCAGTTTTCTCAAACTGGTGAAAAGCGACATTTCGATGTAATTTTAGTTCACGTTTACCGTTGCAAGATTTTTCCCTAC